TCTTTTATGCTCAAAATTCAAAGGGGCTCTGGCATTGCATGAAGAGACATGTCAGAGACATGTGTTGGTAGTGTTTGGCATAGTTGAACAAATAGAATCGAAAAATACTGTTATTGTGCTAATCGCATGCTTTTGACATTTAGGATAGATATTGTTAGTATGCTCATTGTTTATGTGAGAATTTTATCTATAAATACTTATGTGAACATCTTTATAGTCTTAAGGGCTACTTTGGGTCTTTGGAAGCTTTAGAGTTTGAGAACCAATTTATCATGTTAAAAACATAACTTGACATTTAACGAACATGTGGCGCACAATTAATTTTTCAGAACTTTCTTGAGCTTTGTTGATATGACAAAGAACTTACAATCAAATAAAAATTTAAACTTTAATTATAAGCTAATCAACAAAACAATTTAAACTTTAAGAATCAAATAAAAATTCTATATGAATCGATCGATTAAACAATATATATATATATATATATATATATATATATATATATATATATATATATATATATATATATATATATATATATATATATATATATATATATATATATATATATATATATATATATGAAGTTCACCAACTTTCCTCGCTATGACTACGTCTCTCCTCAATTTTATTTGGAATTGAGATGAATTTCTTACTTTGCAAAAAGTATGATTACAAGAGAAGTGTTCAAGAGCAACCCTACAAACCCTAACCATTTGATGTTGATTCAACTCCTCTCCTCCTTTGATCTTCAATAAGACTAAGATACAATAGCCACCAATTGATTTATCAAATCTTGCTACTCCTTTGGGTACCAAACTCCAAAGCTCTTTCGCGCATGGTCAATTATGACTATTGAACACAAGACCTTTCAATTCGATTCGTCGTTCTCTCGCCACTTCCTTGGGTATCAAACTCCGAAGGCTTTTCACTTGACCGCAATCCTCTCTTGAAAGTCTTGAACAAAACCCCCAAATCTACTAAAGATCTTGGAGGATAAACCCTAGGTTTTTCCGGATGAAACCCCATACAGATCTCAACCCAATATTCTCGGTTACAACAAACATAATTGGATGTTATCGAACCTCGTCTAGATGGCACCCCAACAAAGATGATTATGTGTGATTTTCCAGTGTGTATGCATAGATTGAAGGTTGAATATGAAGAGCAAATGTAGTAAGTGTTTATAGTTTCATAGAGTTGGAATGATGCATGAATGATGTATTTATAGTTGTGAAAGATTATGTGCAAATGGGTAATTTTCGAAATAAAAAAGAATTGAAAAATTGATCAAATCAAACATTATGTGCCTACACATAAGTAAAAAACTAACAGTATGTGTAGATGTGTCGGCCTATGCAAGTCAATGGCCACAAGCTATAATACTGCAGTAGATGTGCCATCCTAATCATACGTGCTAACACATAAAACTGAAAGTTACAGTATATGTCGGCCTATGTGATGCATGTGTCAGCATGTATCAAACAAAAGCTACACACTTCATTATTGAGTTACATGTGTCGCCCTGAAACACCTATGTACAAACACATGTAAGTAAATTTTATGCAGAAAAGTGATTTTCAAGGTTTCGGCCAATTTCAAAATGGTTTTTAATGATTTCTAAGACTTCTAATGTAAGGAGTACCATATAACATAGAGATATTTTCCAATATACAAAAATGTTAACTTTTCCTAGTTTTGACTTCATGAAAAAATATCTAATGGTAAACTTGCACTCATATACTCCCCCTTTTTTATGATGGCAAAACTTGCAACACGGTATTTCATGTTGTTATCAAAGGCTCCCCTGACTTTGTTCTTCCCAACTTCATCTCGCATATGCTTCCCCCCCTTTGACTACATCAAAAAGAAAGAAAACACATAGTGAGAAGTATTATATTCCAATACAAATACTAATATATCACCCAGAGGAGTTTTTGCATAGAAGAAAAACAATCACATATCCCCATATATATGTAATGATGTGAAATTGTTAAATAACTAGCAAACAACATTACAACACATGTAATGTAATACATAACTAATAATGAATGCGATGCAAGAGCAAACTTTTCAAGTTGTTTCTATAGCGTCACGATTACGTAACACACCATAATAAAACTCCTGATGCCGCACACACATGTGCCTAGCATTACGACAAGAACATGTCACTACTCAATCCAAAATAAAAATATTGTCATAACATGTGACCAACTACAACAAAAACTGTATATGCAAGTAACATGCATACATTTAACTCATGCACAAATGAAAATAATAAAGAACACATGCTTGTACACACAAGAACAAACAAATACAAATGTGAAAGAATTAATAGATGAAGTCATTATAAACATATACATTGAGAACATACAATGGTTTCCAATCAATATTTTTTTGGAAATGGACGTTCATGGTTTTCATCATTTGAGAAAATATCAAGCATTTTTAACCAATAAATAACATGCATTAAGAAAAGTCTTACTTTCAAAGAGAAATTTGAAACAATATTACCTCATTCTTGATGGAACGGAAGTTGCACTCACATGATATAAAATACTCAAACAAAGAGTTACAGAAAAAGTGTAAAGTGCAATCAACAAGGAAAAATTAAGCAACATTGGAGATATCAATGATCCCCGATTCCCACGTATGTTGAAACATGGTTCGGTTGTAAGAGGTTTAGTGAAAATGTCTGCAAGTTAATTTTTACTATCAACATGCTCGAATACAACACCACATTTTTCAACATGATCACAAAGAAAATGGTGACGTATCTCGCTATATTTAGTGCGAGAATGTAGTACATGATTCTTGGTTAGATTAGTTGCGTTAGTGCTGTCGCACATGATAGAAATACATGAAAGTTTAATGTCAAAATCAAGTAATTGTTTCTTAAGCCACAAAATTTGGGCACAACAATTACTGGCTGTCACGTATTCTGCCTCGACAGTTGACAAAGCTATGGAAACTTGTTTTTCACTATACCAACTAACCAAGGATTTTGAAAACATGTGACAAGTTCCACTAGTACTTTTCCTATCTGATTTGCAACCGATAAAGTTAGAATCAGAGTAACCAACAAAGCTACAATCATTTCCCTTGGAATACCAAAACCCAAACTTAGAAGTACCAATGAGGTATCTAAGAATACGCTTAATCATTTTTAAGTGTGATTCTTTAGGAGCCGATTGATATCATACACACATGAGAACACTAAACCTAATACCGGTCCTAGATACCGTAAGATATATAAGAGATCCAAGCATACCTCTATATTTCTTGACATCAACATCCTTATCCTTTTCATCTCTATCTAAGTTACCATTTGTTGTCATAGGTGTGTCAATTTGCTTTGTATTATCCATTCTGAATTGCTTTAGTAATACTTTGCTTGACACACAAATGTTCTTTCCTTGAGTTGTTTATTTTGGAGGTTGAGAAAGTGATTTAACTCCTCCATGAGACTCATTTTAAATTCTCCTTGGATAAGCTTAGATAGATACTAGTAGAGGTGTTCAAATCCCAAACAATCCAAATAAAAAACCGAAAATCGATCCAAAAATCCGAAAACCGCAAAAAACCGAAATTTATTGGATGTGTTTGGATGTCATTTTGTGAAAACCGATCAGTTCAGATCAGATTTCGAATTAATTTTTCAAAACCGATCCAAACCAAACCAACCCGCATACATATATTTTTATACTTATTTACTTTTTATTAGTATAATATATTGCGTGAATTTATTATTAGATGATAATATTTTTTTTAATAATAATTATTAGCTTAGTATAATTTATTTATTTTTATTATTTCAATCATAATCAACCACTTTCTTTTTGTAATATTAACTTTTAATATACTATAAGTTATATATTATATCAAATCTATGATTTATTAGTAGTTTTATAATATTGATACAAATATAATGTGTAATTTAGATATCCAAAAACCGATTCAAATTAAACGCATAAAATTGAATCGGATTGGATTGAATTTTTTTAATATATTATCTAAAACCGAACTGAACGTAAGTAAATTTATCTTTGAATCAAATAATTTTTTGTCTTGAAACCGATCCAAACAAAACCGCGAACACACATAGATACTAGTATATATATCGGAGAAGGGAGAGGTAGAAAGAAATTTCGTGACTCAATATAAAATAAACCCGGTTGGTTTGGTTTTTAGAGGCGACCGCATGGCTCAGTTCTCGACCCAGGTTCGTTTCTTTCACGCTAATATTATTCCTCAGATTTCTCGATCCATTTCTAGGGTTTCTGCTTCTCTTATCTTGTTTTAACCTAATTCATAATTTTTCTCTAATTCAAATTTATTTTCATGTTTCAATCCATCGGTTTCACGTTTCAACCGTGATTTACTTTTTGCATATTAGATCGTGATCTTGTTGTTGTATATGATTATAAATTGTATGGATTCTTTGATATGATTGTTAGAGAGGGAGAAAAAACTAGTTGGGTTTGATTTTGGTAGAGTTAGGGTTACGTTAAACGTATAAAGTAACTATGTTTTTTAATGTTTGGTTTGTGAATATTTGTTGCGGCATAACGAAGATGTTATTCTGAGATAATTGTTGTTTGAATTTGAATGCTTAAGCTATGAAGAAGTATTAATCATTCTAATGTGTTGGGTTGAGATTAGGGAAATTTTTGGTTTTAATAGGGGAGATAGCTTTTTTTTGTATTGAAGTTGTAAATCTTTTTTCTGTGAAGTGTTCTAATGCTGGAGTTGATGTGGTTGTTGTAGGAATATGATTAAACTATTTAAAGTAAAGGAAAAGCAAAGAGAACTTGCAGAAAATACCAGTAATGGAGTGCCTGTTAAGAAACAAAGTGCTGGCGAGCTGCATCTTCACAAAGGTTTTCTTGTTAAATTCTTTTTTGGTGTTTTTCGTTCTGCTAAATTTGTGTGATACTTATCCCTACCCACTGCTAGAGAATTTGGAAAGATAATCGAGAGTGAATGAGGAAAAATGAAGGTTAATGTGTGGTTGCTAGAGCACTACAATTTCTTTTTTCTAGGATATTTTCAGAAATAAGGTGATATCTTACTTCACAATACAAACCCAACCCACTCTTGTTAATATTTTTTATAATGTTAAAGTTGAAACAAACTATATGCTGATATACGCCAACTTTTAGGTTGGAAGTGTTTGACACCATTAACACTTGTCCTAAATCTCTGCCATGGTTCCTGTCGGTTACGGTTTCATCTTTGAATTTTTCACATGAAACCAACCAACCATTAATATTATTAACCAGGTGTTTGTTTCTCTTCACACCCTTCATTCAACAACCTCTTCTCATAACCATCCATTTCGTGACGTTTCATATTTATCCTCCGTATTTTGTCCTCTTCTTTAACTGTTACACTTTTTTTTCTTCTTTTTCATACATTTTTGTACTTTAATATCTCTTTTGCATATGTACTCCAGATTTCATTAAGTAATTGCTTTTGTTTTCAGCTACTTTTTTTACTTTCAATAGTAAAAGTAATTTTTTCTGGATTTTACTTAATTTAGTAAGCTAGTTTAAAATACCAGTAGGTTTGAAATTTTGAGAATATACTACTAGTACTAGTACTAGTTTATTTTTTTTGTGTGTACAAAATCTTTTATTATGTGAGGTTTGACAGTGATTTTTTCGTACATGAAGCTATGAAAGTGATTTTTAACATTGAAATGGAATCAAAATAATTAAAGAAAAACTTGCGAATTAAGTTATTGCCGATTTAATGCATAGCTAGCGTAGTATGGCAGGAAATTTATTATATAACTTATGGTATAATTGTTTTTTATTCAATGATTTTTACTAATTTATGATATAATTATTTTTTATTATTAATTTATAAATATCAATAATTTATTTACCAGTACTATTTAATCAACTAATACATACATCAATTAAGTTATTTCACCCTCCCATTTATCATATAAATTTAAATATAATTAATACTATTATATTCAAATTTATAATATAATTCCAGCCGGAAAACCAAAGTCACCGGAAAACCCAGGCGGGATTGGCTGCCAGCGGCCTAAAACGGTGAAAAATCCCGTTCATATTTTCCGTTTATGTATTCTGAAAGAGAAGTTTCAGTTATTCTATGCATCTGTTTGCCGTCACTGTGAGTTGGGTTTCTACTTTATGAATGAATGTTGCTTATAGTTGGTTCTTCTTTCATTTTCATTTTCTCTCCTGTGAAACCCATCAAGTGGAGTGATATTTTTCACATGAGATAGCTTCTATCTTGACATCTCTTTGGTCCAAGGTAAGTTTAGAAAATCATCTCCATGCTTTTCTTATCTTAGATTTGTGTTGCATAGTTGTTATCTATTTTTCAGTAAGAATGTTACCTGTTTGATAAAATGTTTTTTATATTTATGTTGGATGATATATTTGCAACTTAAGAAACAAATTTGTTACAGTTCTATGAGTATTTGCAACAACTTTCTAAGCCGAATTAACTATTAAGATACATTTTGAGTTTGGCTACCTAGTGATAATGTCTTGCATCGTGATGGAAGTAAGATGTGGAGTTTGAAGTACTGTTTGTGTTCACTAATTCAACATCCCAATTCTTTAAGTTATCGAGCCATAAGTATTTGACTATCAAAGAAGGACTGACCTGTTACATACAAGGCTGCAGAGGCAGAGACATATCTGTATAAGTCTATTTATATGCCAAACTTTGAGTGTACTACCATCACATATAGCCCATATGATTCCTTCCTTTGGAAGCACTCTGGTTGTGCATATACTTCTCCATGAAAACTTGGTTTATTACCATTATTAGCTCCCAAAAACTCACGAGGATGATATTTAGCTCTAAAGAGTTTGGGATACCACGGAATAAGGATCTGTGATGAACTGTCACACTTGTCTAGCTAACATTACTACTAGCAACAGTAGTTGTTTAGTGCAATGTATTATCAAAAGTGCCTCCTATGATAGTTCTATTGCATAGCAGAATTTTAAGAGTCTAATTTAAGTTCAAAGTGCATAAATCAGATAGATATTAGAGTCGTCACTCGCCAAAAAGATGACACCCGTGCAGTGTGTATTACGACTGCCCCAAATTTCTGATCACTATATCATAATTCTTTATATTCCTTCACAAGTTTAATCATTCATTTTATTCATAAACCTTACTTGATATATAGCTTTAGACGTTCCTGCAACCACCAACTATCCAAAAAGTCATTAATTTTTCGGCAAGAACCCTATTGACATGCATGTTCGTTAGCGATTTTGTTGAATTAGGAGAGACTAAGAGATATTTAGGTTAAACCGTGTGTTTTGAAAGCATTACGGAGACTTTATTATAAATTACAACTAATTACATGATATAATCGATGTAGGACTATTCTACATACAAAGATTCTTAACACTATATATATTTGCAAATATCAATAACTTTCACTCAAATTTCAAATTTGAAACAAACTTTCCCAATCCCAAAACAATCATTGCTGATCTTTTAATGTAACTGGCGTTCTGGTTGTGACAATTAGTGGGGTCGGTTGTTCATTTCAAAATTTGGGTATCTGGATTCATACTCGGTTGTACTTGAGATAGGAAAATGGGTAACTCAATTGTAAAGTAGAATGCAGGGTCATGTGTTGGACATTGGAGTTCTTTGATTTCACTATAAAACTATATTTTTAACTTCTAACCACTATACATGAGGTTATTGATAGATAAATGTACTAGGTTGCAACTTGCAAGTAGTCAAATGGGCATACTACAAGGATTAGTTTATAATTTCCTATAAAACTAGTGGTTATCTCCATTTATTTTACTCTAGAGTTTAGACAAATTTAGTAGCTTTCCTTATTGTGACTCTTTGGAGCAGCTACAAACTTTGTCCATGTGAATTTTTTCAAAAGGAAACAAAAACTATTACTCTATTTGTTTTATTTTTGTTCCTAAGTAGATTTTCTTAAAATGGAGGGTGCTTTGGCTAAATACTAAATGGAGTTAAACATGTCCAGTCCCTACTTTTAAATTTTTCATTAATTGAAACTGCGTGCTGGAGAAAATCATTGAGTTCACTTGCCTCTTCCTTGCAGTTTTACTTGCAAGAGAATCTACCATGGAACCAACTTGTGCTGCTTGTGCCATGGAATGGAGCATCCAACTTGAGAAGGGTCTTCGTTCTTGTAAACCAGGTAAAAGCCATTTCTGTCATATGTTGTATTGTTTGTGTTCATTTCTCATACCTTTCAACAACCAAGGACTAAAACTGTTGGTCTAAGGCGTGTACTCTGTCTAACATGTGTATGACACATGTCAAACACCTCATTCGGTGTTCAATTGAAAGTTTTTTTTAATCCTAATATGGCTTCAACAAGAATGTGACACTCTTTTGATGGGAAGAAGCGCCTTTTTGAATGATGTACTGTGTATTTTTTTATAGGTTTGTAACAGTAGTTTGTTATTCTGAATATTTAAATTTTTTTCCGATTGGTTGGATTTTGCTTCTAATTTCAATTATGCTGCGAGTTATCTAATTTCACCACTTTTTATCTTTTATAGATTGCACTCATATATTAAATAGTATATATTTAGTGTATATAAAATACAGATTTTTCAAGTTTAGATCCTTTATATTTTGTGACCATTTTTAGTCCTTACATTTAAAAAAAAAGAGATACTTTTAGTCCTTAAAGAGGGAGGACTAAAAACACTGGTTTTGTTAAATGTTAAGGATTAACAGCATCCACTTTTATGAAAGGTCGTGACAAAAATTGATAAAATTTTTAGACTAAAATAAAAAATGGATATTTTATAGAGACAAAATATATTTAACTCTATTATTTATCTTATTAGAATATATAATAATACTAGGAATACGCTTTTTAACACTCGTTTATTTGTTAAAGTATATCTGTCCCGCTAAATTTATATGGAACCCATATGATTTGGTGGTATCAAAATATAAATTTTAATCAGCAAAAGTATATTGGAACATGTATGTTAAAGGGCGTGTTGTGTGTGTATGTGGTGCATTACATGTTTTTGTCTTGTATCCATGTTTTGTGTATGGTTCTTCATCGAGTCTCATTCTTCATCAGGTGTACCGGTCAAAGCCATATTGCAAATGGGGCCCCATCTTCAGCGTTGGAGTAGAGAGCTTGAATCTGGTATTGTTCCCAATGGCATGTTTGACCTTGTGCCAGGTGAAGATGAACTATTTGCTAATGCTATCCTCTTACGCCTTGCTGATGCCTTTAGGGGAGGCAACACAGAAATCAAGCTTTCTGTTGTCAGAGTTTTCTTGATCGAGCGAAAGCACCATGATAATAGGAAGCACAAGCAGTGTAAAGGGTTGCTGTCAATGGCCAGAGTAGCTAACCATTTGGAGTTGTTGAAGCGGGTAAAATCTGTTTTCAACGATGGAGATTCAGAGTCCAAGACACTGGCTCTAGTTCTGTTTGGTTGCTGGGCTGATTTTGCCAATGACAATGCTCAGATACGATACTTGATTCTTTCCAGCCTTGTTTCTCCTCATGATTGTGAGGTACGAATAGTGTCTTGTAGTTTTGCTGTTGTTCTAGATGCCTATGTCTAAATAATTCTTTATAACATCTCCCATTTACATTCACACATTATTATGTCACTTTAAATAGCTTGTCGTATATTTTATCTTTGTATTTTAAAAATCATGCAATTGAGAAACTACAATTTTAATGAGGAGGTTGAATTGGAGTGGATTAAAGATATTATTGGATATTGTATTGTATTTTTCATTATATACACAAGGAGGTTGAATCTATTGAAGTATTCTAATTTTCTTTTCTTAACTTATTCCCTGTATAGCCAAACTTCTTTGCACTCGCCATGTTTTGATTGATCATCTGCATCAATGTATATAATATATTGATTGTATTGGGTTTTCACAGGTAAGAGCGTCATTGTTTGCTGCCGGTTGCTTTTGTGAGATATCCGATGATTTTGCATGTATTACATTGGAGATGCTGTTTAACATTATGAATTCACCTGCAGCATCCTTACCTATAAAGTTGGCTGCAGCTCGAATTTTTGCAAAATTCAGATGCTCATATTCAGTTGCAAAAAAAGCATATAAGGTTGTTGCCTAGTTTTTTTCTCGGAACTATCACTTATTTCTGTTTTCTTATTTCTTAGGTGATGACTTATTTGATGCAGATAGGTCTGGAGCTGATATCAAATTCTTCAAATGAAGATATTCTTGTTATCATGCTATTCTCACTTTCAAAGTTGGCATCCATTTCTACACTTCTTACCTCCAATCATGTACGTGCATT